TGGCCAGGGGATGCTGGCTACCCAGACTTGTGTCACAGGCCCCCCCTGGAGCCGGGGTTGGGTCGGCCTCACCCCAAGCACAGGGATGAGTAGAGGTGGTAACACTAAGACAGTGTGCTTAGGTGCTATCAGCAGGGGTGTTGGAGACTGGAGAAACCCAGGCAATCTGAATCTACTGGGGAGGGTCTTCAGGCCCAAGAAATCCCTCTTATCGGAGAAGGAAAAGTTGGAGGCAACAGTAGGAAAGACAGCCTTGAGCTGTGAAATTATCTTAGCTCCATGCAAAATTGCTTTCAATACTACAACCTTGGCTGCCCTTTTTAACTCCACTCTTGCCTAAATTAAACAAAATTGAAAAGTTTACTGCAGATTTCTATAATGGAAATATGTCCTAAATTCTGAATTGCAAGTTAATGGTGAAATAACAATATACCAAAACAGCAACAGTCCGGACAATAAAAATTTGTTAGCAATAACTCAAATTTGTAAAGTCAAAGGAATCTAAAGATGAAATAAAGCACTTGCTGCCATACAAACAAATGACACATACTCTCCACTGATAACAGCAAGTCACCCTCCCTTTAAGGTAGACATACCTGGGCCCTGCCTACACATCACTGAATGATGTATATGAGCTATGGCTACTCCCAAACCCCCTCAGGGTTACTTCCCTACTTCCTTCCTTCATTTGACAAATACTCACAAATCATCTTTGTGCAAAATACTGTGCTGGCCGCTGGGATTTAATGATGAGCAATCTCAAAGCCCCACTCCCCGCAGAACTTAGAGTTCATTGAGAAGGAGAGACATTACTCAAATGATACAATACACAGGGAGCTATGAACAGGTATATTAGGTATTAGGGGAACTTGATCCAGTGTGTGTGCATGTGTGTGTGGTGATGGGGTCCAAAAAGTATAAGGATTCCTGGGAAGGTAATGTTTGAGTTGAGCTCGCAGCATTGGCCAAATAAGGAGAGGTCGTGGGGGGTGAGAACATCCCAGGCAGAAAGGATAGACTATCAAAGCGCAGAGACCAAAGGGAACATGACGTGTTCTAGAGACTGAGGGAGGGCCACTGGTGGCTAGAACCCAGAAGTAGAGAACTGGTACAGATTGAGGTGGGCCTAGAGATGAAGGCAGAAGTCAGATCATTCAAGAATACACAGACCATATAAAAATGTGGAATTTTATTCTATTCTTAGAAGGGTGACTAGTCAGATTTGCATTTAAAAAGATGCCTCTGGTGGCGACATGGAGAATGAACTGAGGGACAATGAGGGTGTAGGTGGAGAGAAGAGAAGAGGTGATGGGTAGGTTTGTAGGTGAGGACAGAGGAGAAGAGAACATGGATCAGGCTAAGTTTCTGCCTTGCTCAGGCGAGTAGGTGGCCTCATTCATCAAGGTGGGGAGTGCTAAAGAAAATCGCGATTGAGACATGAGTTTCTATTTTAATGTATTCAGTGTGAACTGCTGCTAACATATCCAAACAGCAATGCCACGTAGACAACTGGCAAATCAAGCCTGAAGCTCAGAAGTATTGTAGGATGGGAAATAAAATCTCAGCGTCATCGACCTGCCAATAATATTTAGAGCCATGGGAATGGATGAGTTTACCCAGAGAGAGCCAGTAAGGACTGAAAACCACAAGACAAGGAAATCTCCCTTGATCTCGAAAACCCCCACGTTTATTGCCCAGGTGGAGGAAGATGAAGTGGCAAAGGAGATTGAGATGGAGCAGACAGATAGGTAACAGGAAGACAGGGAGAGAGTGCGCAGGGGACCTGAAGGTAAACAATGATTCACAGAGGAGGAAATGGTCAGAATGCCAAATGCTCCTGAGAAGCCAGGAACGATCAAGAATAATCCCTGCTGGGTTTGGCGATGTCGAAGTCACTGGTGACATTAGTGAGAGCTGTTTGGGGAAAGTTTTGGGGGTGGGGGTGGGGGTGGAAGCCAGTTTAAGTGGGCTGAAGGATGACTCAGATCCTGTTTTCATAGGCTGCCTGACTTTTGCTTCTGTCCTTTAATAATTCCATGCCTGCCCTTTGGAACTGGTCTCTCCATCTTGTGCTCAGACTTGACTCAGCCCCAATCTGCATGACCTTCATTCCATCCTAATTAGTCCTTTCGGAACCTCAGTTCTTGATTCTGCCCCATTCAGTACCCAGACAACACATGAGCTGTTCTGTAAGTGAAGATAATTGAAGCTTTACCCATCTAAGTAATGAGATGTGGACCTCAGCCTTGAATCTAGACTTGCCCACTAATTGCATAAAATTGGAAAGTTGCTTAGCTTCAGTTTCCTCATCAGCACGGTGAAGACTGGTCATACCTAGCTGACTGTGTCATTGTGAGGATGAAGCTTCCTGGTGCATGATGGTTGCTCAACAAACGGTGGTTACCTTCCCCCAGTTTCCCTGTCCTCTCAAGGTATAACAGCCCTTTAGCCATATTTCTAAAATGTAAAGAAATGTTTCAAAGTGACATATTGTAATCAAGGAATGGCAAGGCTCCAGTAGTGACATTGCTTCATTCACCCCACATTTATTTATCAAGCACCTGTCACGTAGGGCTGCTTTAAGCAGTCATTGCAGGAAGGTTTTGCTGAGATTTTGATGTGTAAGCTGTCATGCAAAGGGCACGGAGGAAGCGAGGACGTTCCCTTTTCTTGACATGTGCTGAGAGACTGCGCTACGATGCGGTGATCCGCGAGGAAGAAATGACGTGTGTTGGTGTCTCGGCTCCTAAACTGAATCTACAGCTAGGTGAGTATCTGTTGATCAGTGGTTAGTATTTTTCTTTCTCCTTCACCATCTGTCAGTTGATCAAGTCAATCACCCTTCAAATACTTCCTATTTCTAACCTATTTGACAGCTGAGGAATCTCACAGTCAGGCTGGTTAGAAATAACATAAAAGTGACAATGAAATTGGCTCTGGATGAGGCCTCTTCCTTAAATCAAGCACCTAATCATCAGAGCCTGAACTGTGCATTGGCTCAGCAAGTTTCCTGGGGGGCAGTCCTGCTCCTGGGTTCTTGGCTAAGTTCTCACAAGTGGGGTTTGGGGTACGTGACCTCTGGACAAGTGAGGTGATGCTGTGCAATCCTGAATAATTATGACGGGTTATCTCTGTAAATCAGTGACCGGTTGAAGCCGCGTGGAGCCCTGTGTGCCCAGAATTAACTGTAAACTTGGAAGGGTGCCGAGACAAACAGAGTGCTGGCTCCCTCCCTGATTGTGTGGTTTTCTGTCTCTCTACTGATGGCTGTCACTTGTGCCACACGGTAAGGTGTCCCCTCATTCAGACCCCTACCTTTGCATTCCTCTGGACAGAAAGCTTAGTTCGGGAGAACTGCGTTTGGAGTAAGAGGAAATAAGGTGAGAGGGCTGCCGAAGTGTCAAGGTCATGGCTGCTCACTGAGAGTTGTTTCAGACACTCAGAGATCCCTTCCATACATTTGAATTTGAGTTGGACTAGGCGCCTAGAAGAGAGAAAGGGGGAGGGTATTCTTGGCAACCTCTCCCCCAGGGTCTACACAGCTTCGTCTGAGATTGAAGTTCCCCTCCTACAAGAGAGCTTGCCGACGGCGAGGTGAGTGTAATAAAGGGAAGCATGACCTAAGCTGATTAAAGAGAAATGGGAATTACGACGTTCCTTGGCCCTTTCTTACAGTATCTCCCACGCAGGATAGTTTTTTCTTATTTCTGGATTATCTCCCCTCCTCCAAGAATACCAGCCCGGCTTCAGGTACCACTGATTCAGGGCCAGCGAGAGAGACGTGGGACAAAGAGTAGGTTCCATTTTGAGATTTTATCTTTGCTAGTAACATGCTCTTCTCAGTTGTGTGGTTGAATTACAGAATACATCTCCCTCTTCAGAAGGTGAAGAGTTCAGGCTCAGAGATGGCTCGAGAGTTACAGGACACGTTCGCAGGAACTACACATGAATTCAGGGTGGAAAGGTAGTATTTACACGCTCTTTCTGTCACAGCTTTCCACAAAGCTGACCTAGCCCAGGACTGAGACAGAGCGGGGAGGGGCTGGGAAAGCTCTGAGAGCCTCCCCCACTGGATGCTAATTTTGGTGACAAATGATTGACAGGCAGTAGGTGACCTGGAAAGCACTAGAGAGCCTTCAAGAGGCCCAGTGGAAATGGTTGATTCTGAGACTAATTCACTGTGTGACTCTGAGCAAATCACATTGTTTATCTTGGTCCTAATTTTCTCATTTTAAAAATGAGATTGCCCTCTAATAATTGTTCTGGACCGTCCCAGCTTGGAAATGCTGCTTTTGTGGATACATAAGGCATTTCTAGGATCAGCCTAAATCTACAGCGAGCTTAGGGACGTTGTGGAAATCCACTTAGGTATTTAATGCAGGTGTGCCAAAGTTGACATGGCATTGAGTAGGCTGGAGGGCTAGGCAGGTCAGAGGTGACATGTACGAGGCAGTCACTCCAGGAAACCGTTCTCCACTGGTATCAGTGTTATTGCTAGGGTGACGTTTCCGACTGAAAGGATTATAACTGAAATTATAATATTTCATAGAGAATCATAACATAAATTATACATGAAGTCAATGATAACTGTGGAAACAAGACCTTTACACACAGGGAAAAACAACTGGAAAGAAATGGAATGCACTTTCAAAAATGTAGTTATATTTGGATGATGGAACTAAGAAGTGGTTTTTTTCCCCCACTTTTTCTACTTATCTGCATTTTTGTATTCTCCTTTGAGTATTAACTATTTACTGATCAATATAGTAAACCTTATTTATTTTGAAATATTTTGTACTTAAGCACGGATGAACTTCTATGCCCAACACTAATAATGGCGAAATTGTTATGGTGTGCTGGCCAACTTAATGAGTCTTGAGATATACTTCCCATGTGTTTCCCCAAGCTTGCATGAGATATTTAATTTCTAGGTGAAAACTTACTTCAAATAGAAAAATCTGAGGAAAAGGCAACACTCAGCTTTGTAGTCTTCTCGGAAATATTTTAATTTAGATGACTTGTTTCAATTCCATAGACACAGTGGTAACAGGGAGAGGAAAAAAAAAAAAACGAACAGGAAAACGCTTCCACTTAGCAGAATTTGGGAACTAGCCTTTTGGAAAAGAAACCCTCTGTACTTAGAAAACACAGCAGTTGAAACGATTTGCTGGAATTTGGTCATCCCCCATTCCATGTATGAGTTTCTTTTGTAGGATGAGAAACTGGAAAATGACACGGCTCTTTCTACCAATAAGCGGGTCATTAACCCCTCAGCTTGGTTTGAAATTCCTCAGCTTTTGTTATTGACATTGGTTCTTAGTCAACACTCCTCACACTCTATATTTCAAATAGTCAGTTCTTTTCATTCTATTTTTAGTTCTAACCCTTTTTCCCTGCCCCTACCTTCCACCAAAATTTGAAGATTGGATTTCATTTCAAGTGTGCAATTCCCAGCTGAAGGCCCACTGAGATCTTCTTGCTCCCTGGTTTTCTGGTGGGAAAATGCATTTTCCCTCTCTCTGAGCGGGGACACCACCAACACCTTCCTGACTGTTCACACAGGATATCAGAGGAAACGCCGCCTGGGAAGGAGAGGGCCTGTGCTTTCTGAGCAGCGATGGTGGCCCGCTGGCCTCCCCTGAAGCTTCTCATGGCGAGTCCCGTGATGTGAGCTGGCAGCAGGAACCTGTCATCAGCTCCACACAGCAGGACCTTCGAGCAACTTCCTCCTTGCACATGCAGCTGTTCCCGAGTTAGAGTCATTTATGCCTCTGCCATCACGGTTCCCATTGGCTGCTAGCAGCAGGAATTCCCTAAGTATCTCTTACTCCAAATGCTCTCATGAGAATGTCCAGCAGCTATCGTCATGTGGAACTTGATAGGGTTCTCTGTGCTTCTCCCAGCACTCTGCCTCTAAGTCATTTGTGACATCCATGGACACCTAGGGAGCTCAGGGCCACTCCAGAGGGCAACCTCAGCCCAGTCCCACACTGAGCCCGGCGGTGGTGGTGGTGGTGGAGGTACCTTGTTACCAAGCACTTTTGATGAGTATCATTTGTTCATTCATTCATTCAACAACTGTTCACTGAATATCAATTATGTGCCAGACACTCTGTTACGTAGTAGTGATTCCCAAAGGAATTTAAAAGTTGGCTGAGACTCTGAGGAGAAGACTAGTATGAAAGATCCAACTTAAAATAAAAGCAAAACAAACAATAAAATTGGTTAGGTAACAGAAATGTGTTTAGACAAACCAGAGGGAGCAAAGATTAATTCCTGCTCTATGGGCCTCCCATCTTCCTGGAGGAGGTGGCTGTCCGGTCCTTCTTTTGGAACAAAGCTGGAGAGAGAACAAGAATAGCATGGCCCAAGGCACAGATATATTGATCAGCCTGCCAGGTTTTCAGTATTGTTAGAATATGAGTTTCCAGGGACAGTGATGGTGTAGGAGCTAATGCTAGACAGGAAGACAAAGGTCATGTTGTGATGGGCGCTCCACAGCCTTTGCTGAGAAATTTGTATATATTCTATGATACTCTTCCTGCAAGAAAGAAAGAGAAATATTGACTCTACCTTGAAAAGGTAAGTCCAAAAGGTATTCTCTGGCAGTGTGGAGGGTGGCTGGGCAGAAGACGCCGCTGGAAGTGAGTATAGAATGGCTGGGTGTATAGAAAGAGCCGGCAGCTTTGGAAGTCCCGGAGGAATGCCCTGGGTTGGGCTACATTCTTTCAGAGGAGCAGGGACTGAGGGCTGGCAGCTGTGAGACCCGGGGAGCTGGAGGAGCAAGCGAACCTCTAGGGCAACAGTGGAGGTCATCAGGGGCATGTAAAGGTTAGCATCCAGGTGGGTGCGTTCTTGAGTGTATCTGGAAGCCCCTTGGGGCCTCCCTGAATTAAAAAAGCAGAGGTGAGTAGGGGTGTGTTGGCAGCCATCAGACTTGGATTTTAAACTACCTGCGCGTTGGGAAACCTTGTGGTGGAAGGGAGGTGGCAGTTGAATTTCTGTTCTGAGATCTAGACATAGTGTAAAGGGAAGTGTTTGTTACATGGTAAAGTATTTGACTCTTTAAAGTGAAATTTCATTTCTTCCTGACAAAGAAAGGAAAACTCAGAGAGGTTGAGTAATTTCCCCAACATTACAGGGTTGCCCACTTGCTGCCTGTCTAAGAGAGGATCTCAGCATCTTGGATTAATTTCCAATTTTGTCTCCTATAAGAACTTGTTGAATTTCCCCTGCGAGCACAGTAGTCACTTGTGCTGATGAAATTCAAATATTGTCCCTTAATGAACAAACACAGCAAGTTTCTATAATAATATTTGTATAAAAATGTGGTTTTCAGCAACCAGTCACTCTAGGGTGAGACAGGTCCCTATTTCTGTTCCCGCCCCACTCTATTTATTTTTCAAAACCATAAAAGAAATGAAAGCATATAAATTCCAAAACACAGACACATCTACACACACACATCAGGAAGCACAACGTGAGGTTTTCATAAACATTACTCAGCCACGTGATCTGTATTCCGAGTTAAGTACTCCACAAACATCATCACATATGATCTTCAAAATGACATTTCTTTTATGTGGTCTGTGGGCAATTTTGCAATTATATATTGCTCATGTGTTATTAACTTGTGAAAGTGGTTCAAACCATATTTTCATTGTTACAAAAATGGCATTAAGTGTCCCCATGTGCAGTGAGCCTGTCATTCCAGACAGTGGGAAGAGCTGGGGACCTAATACAGGCACTGCCAGCTCACAAGCAGCGGTTGTGTCTGGCCAATATTCCACTAGGCAATAGCGAAAAAAGGAAAATCAACTGAATCAGCAAGATTTAAGGTATCACAACAGATCCCCTAGTGGAAATACCTGGGTTGATGTGCTCTCTCCGCCTCGCCTTCCTCAGAACTCATGCACATCTCTGGGTATTCACTGTGCAACGACCAACTCCCTGGCGGCCAGTGAACTTTTACTCTGTTTCATTTGGACTAATACAGACAGAGGTGTGTAGTCCGGGGTTGATGGCCGTGCTGCAGAGGGAAGACCCATCAATTCCTAATGTCAAGGTCCACGGGCAGCAAAAATGCCAAGGACTGTTTTGTGTTTGGTGGTGGCGGTGGTGGTATTTCCTCAGTTCTATATTTTATTTCAGCATCCCTCCAGAGAAGAACCCTCATCACCCCCTTCCTTCTTTTTACATGTGGTCAAGTGGATTTTGTCATGTGCAACCTAAGAAGCTACTTGAACACAAACAGTGATCAGCATGAAACATACAAGGTGTGCCTCTAGATTATGAGGTCAACCCATAACCATCTGTTTAGATTGTGAAGAACTTTGTAATCATGGTAATCATGGAAATAGACCTCCTGGTGAGTGATGAGTTTCCTGAACCTGGAGGTGCTTAGGCAGGAACCGAGGGACCATATGTCAGGGTCGCTGGGACGGTGGGCAAGACGGACTGACAAATGCCAACTGCATAATTTTTATGATGGCCAATTACGCTATTACAGAATGGAGCCATGTAAATAGATGCTGACATGCACAGTCAACTGTACAAATATTAGCCATAGATTCAATGAGCGATTTGGAATCTGCATCCCCGCAAGGACAAGAGTTTTTGGTGTGGCACCAAGTCCAGAGTGAAACAACATGAGCGGTGTGTTCCGAGATTAAGATAAAGTGACACATAAGTATCTGCTCCTTAATGATTGGGAAGATTTCCCACGAATCGAGGACATTAGACATCTGAATGTAATTTGATCTGTAAATGAAGAAAGTAGTTACCAACACGCTGCAGCGTTTGGCCTGAACAGCATCTTTTACAGAGAACACGATTGTTGAAACGATGAAAATGAATTAAGGTTCTATTTATTAAAACTATTCTTCATTAAAATAAATCACATCTTGGCCTCCAGGTCCATGCTCTTCCCCCTTAGGTTTCCTACCTTTTACAAAGTCATGTCAACAAGTTATCAAAACCAGCCAGAGAGGGTTTTATAGTGGAAAGTTGGACCGAAAACCGTTTCTCACCACAGTGTGCTTTTTCCAGACAGAACTTGTAAAATTGCTGAGAAACGAATGTTTTAAAAAACAATATTGTAAATGCTGCGTCACCCCTGGACAGTCTTCTTTCGCTCTGGGTCTCGGGCAGTGTTAGCGCCTCTCTTCTGGTGCCCCCACAGGAACTGGTTCCTCCTCTTAAATCTTATTTACCTGCTGTCGTCCTACTAGACAGTGACCTCTTCATGGTCAGAGGCTGCTCTTTTAATATTTATCTGTTTACATTGGTTATTTTTGGCTGTTGAAGATTTAAAATGATGCTTATGCACAGTTAAAATACCATATAAAATATTTTTTAAAAATTAAAAAGCTTACCTCAAATCCCATTGAGAAGAAGCCATTCTTGGCATGAGGTGCATATTTTTTCTCAATATCTCTTAATGTGTAGTTGCAGCTATAAAATGGAAAAAATTGGCAGAAAGAATTTTAGAAAAATAGAATCCAATTAGGTATGCTATTTGAAAAGAAATTACAGTTAGTTTTATTTGAACTCAAATGAAATTGAAAGAACTGAGATTATTTTTTTAATCACAATTCTAAATAGCCTCTTTAAATTAAAAAAAAATTGCAAAAAAATTTTAAAGAGAAAAGTTATTATTTGGGTTAACCGAATGTTTCAACATTAGGCCTTATTTATTTTTCCGTAACTCCTAATTTTTCTGATTTTTCTTAGTATTTAAATTAAATAAAACTTTTATTCTGAGATAATTGTAGATTTGCATCTATGGAGAAATGTAAGAAATAGTGCAGAGAGAGTTTGTGTCCCCCCAGTTTCCCTTAGAGAAAACATCTAAGAAATGTACGTACAATATTACAACCTGGAAATCCACATGGATGCAACCCACCAATCTTATTCAGATCTCACCAGTTTTACCTGTAGGGGTGTGTGTGTGTGTGTGTGTGTGTGTGTGTGTGTGTGTGTGTGTGT